AAAATTTGGCGTGATCGTCATCTGCTTTACGGCAAGCAGTTGGCGACCACGTCACAGGAAGGGATATTTCACCTCATAAAGTCCATTGTGTTTAAGAATTTTTCTTTCGGAAAAACTCCTTACCATCGCTGCTATTTATGATTAAGCGCAACTTTATTATAAGATAAACGACAGGGGTACGGCGCACCACGTTTCTTTGCTATCAAGGTAGCTGCCGCGATAGGCCCATGAAGATGAGCAGTCCGATTACGAAAAGACCTTAAGGCGTTATGCGAATACCTGGTCGTCGAGATCGGATTTTATTATCTTCAAAACAATTAATTTAGAAGCTTTCTTGAAACGTCTGATTCAATGAAGATTGTTTGTAAAGCTGTAAGACGTGAAACTCCATATAACTTCCTCCTACCGTCCACGAATTAAATATATGTTCTTTCATAAATACTTAAACGCTAAGTGAGGCATGATTATTGGGAAAGAACAGTGTTACTTAAACTCTACTATTTCAGACGCAGACTCGAGGGGTGGTGACGAGAAGTTCAGAAAGTACGCTCGGAGCGACTCCAAGTACCCGTTTGTGCTTAATTTAAGTGTATGGCCTGCGGGTATAGATGTCAAAAGGCTAACCGCTCGGCGGTGGGCGGATTTCTCAGTAGTTAACTCACTTTCAAGACGTGGTGTAGCCTGAAGCATATGTGACGGAGGTCTTGTAATTCTTGCGCTTGCCCGACGTCGCGCAAACTCGATTTGATGAGCAATACCCAGCTCATCGGTAACCAGCTACGCATCGGCGAGAGCTTTCCGGCGTAACGATATGACACCTTCTGCCAAAGGAAATGGTCAAGGAATGCCCACTCGTGCAGAAGTGAGTCAGGATAAAGAGAACACTAAATTTCCCGGTGGGGTGTCCCGCAATAAAAAATGGCTTGGCTGAACGACATTAATTGCGGTACAGTGTCGTATCGAGACTCATAGTGTCAATGCAACGATTCCTATGAAGAAGCTCTCAGCGACCTTGTCAAATATATCTTGAAGCTCGTAGTCACAGCTACGTCTTTTCCGGTAGCTGTCAAGTCGTTTGAGCATGTTGGATAGAGGACTCACGATGTTATACATAATTGTGGGAGTAGCGAGACCGTAGCGCATTCGTAGGTCATTGAGAATTTGATAGTTGCGTAATGTCTAGAAAAGCCGAAAAAGGCTGTGGGTTCAGTGATGTCCCTTTTTTATTGTGTGTAACTATTGTCACTTTTGACTCTCGAACGTTAAAAAAAGCTCAGAAAAAAGTTAGTTACCTAGAGGAAGTATTGTGTTGTAATGCTCAGAATGGTTTGGGAGGGTGAGGCGGATTCAAAAAAGATCTGTGGAAAACAAAGTTAGCCTTGACCTACGCAAATCAATAAGTTGTATTGTCTTCAAATTTACACATGTATTTGCGTTTTCGCAAAGGCTGCTACCGAAGGGTTGCGCTCATTAAAGGATTTAGCAAATATTTCGCAGCACGAGCTGACGACAGTCATGAATAATAAAACCGAGTTCTTAGCTTCAAGGCATACTCCACATTTTTTTCCCTTGACGGGTCAACAAGGGTTTTCATTGTTTACAGTAGACTTTTTAGGTGCCAGCTCTTGCTTTGACATTTTTTCAGCTTAAAATTTTCTACCCGAGATTTATCGCAGGAGTGCTTGTTCTCGCGTGAGGCTTTTAATTAAAGACCATTGTTGCGACACACTGATGCCGTCTGGTTCATTACTGAATC